CCGGATGCACTTCAGGGGCAGCCCCATGTAGAGCCCATTGCAGTGATATAAAGTGATATAAAGTGATATAATGGTGATATAAAGTCTATTGTAAGGTACTACGATTCCAATGCCACAGGCATTACTGAACAAATTCTTCTCTAAAGCACGTGGGTTTTCCAAATAGTCCATAAACAATCAATCATCAGTAAACAGAACAGACTTATGTAAATCTCTTTATGCCCAGCTTCCAGAGTGCTACAGTTCATACAAAATGAAGTCTCGCACATCTAAAAATAATGTTTTAAAAATCCAGACAAGAAGGGATTGTATGCTGTCCACTAGCTGCAGTTCAAATCAACCAAACAGCTAAATTATACTTGTCAGTTTAACCGTGTTCTGCCAATGCAAACAGAATGTCTTTCATCCTAGAATTACAAGATAAACCTTTTCTTGCTGGTAAACCTAATTACTTTCACATGCAGATGTTTAAAATAGTTTTTAAGCATTGCAGTGCTTCCTCCATACTATTAAGTACCGCAAGTTTCTTCCCTATGCGTAATTTAAATCGGGAGATTTTATCTTTAAATGTCTAGGAACAATCTCACCAGCAGGAAACGCTTTTCTATGAATAGAAAAGATCTGTCTTTTCCAGGAAAAGATCTTCTTTAGAAGCCCTCCTTCCAGGTGTAGAGAAGCATTTGAGTGGTGGCTTATTAGATTGACTTACAAGCAGTCAGTGACCATTTAAATTTACGATGGCACTGAAAAAGTGACGTAAGATTATTTTTCTCCCTTGCAACCGTTACGGCATTCTCACGGTCACATGATCAAAATTTAGACGCTTAGCAACTGGCATGCATTTTATGACGGTTGCAGTGTCCCAGGGTCATCTTTTGTGACCTTCTGACTAGCAAAGTCAATGGGGAAGCCAGATGCACTTAGCAATCGTATTACTAACTTAACAACCGCAGTGATTCGCTTCACTGTGTGCGGCAAGAAAGGTTATAAAATAGCAACAGCACTTAGACTTATATACCGCTTTATAGTACTTTACTCTAAGTCAGTGCTCTAACCACTGCGCCACCATGTCTCAAAATGGGACAAACTCACTTAATAACTGTTTTGTTTAACAGAAAATTTGGGCTTCAACTATAGTCATAAGTCAAGGACTACCTGTATTATCCAGTGATCTTGGGGAGATTTGTGTGACACCTGGGCTCTAATATTTTTCAATATTTTTCAAACCATGTATGTACAGTATGTATTAGCTATTTTTTTAATCTTTGTTTCAGAAGCTGGGATATTATTTGATTAATGATGTCGCTGCTGCTGCTGTTTATTGCATTTATCTTCTAATTATTTTGCACTGATTTTACATTTCATGGTTTTCTTTCTTATAAATCACTATTTTATTCTAAGTAGCCCTGATAAGGCCTGTTAGTGGCTGGAATAAAAACGTCATTAAATAAATAAAATATTAAACTGAAATACATTGGGCATTTTATGTAGCATAGTAGAATTTATAACACTATAGAAGTTCACAGGTGCACTGCAAAAATATTAGGACAGAAATTAAAGTTATGCATGAACACAGGTTAATACACTGTTGATTTTGAGAAACACATCAGGGGATTTTAAGCAACAGGGTGAATCAAAGTTTGATCTTGTGTTAAGGCAAGAATTTTTAAATTACTGTCGGACAGGCTGGTTCAAGAAAAATGTTAATTGAAAATGTTACTTTACACCAATGCTCCATAAATCACCATTTGAATTTATCCACATGTTTTGATTAAAAGATAGTTCCCTAAGAAAAAAATATAAACAGGCATTGAAATGCAGATATACTGAATTTCAAAATCATTCTATTGTTAGTTTTTGGATCAGCGCAACACTTTAAACCAGGGGTACAAACTGTGAGCTTTTTAATGAGCTAAATTTGATAAAGTTAATATAATTAAAAAACAAAAGCTGACGATTGCTGTCTCTATGCCACTGATATAATATCAAGCTTTATCACTATTCCCAATGATTCAGCAATCTTTTTCTTAAAGCACTTTCTATGAAGTGACACTTTTAACTCTTTCCTGGCAGAGCTGGCTGGAGAATTCTGGGAGTTGAAGTCCACAAGTCTTAAAGTTGCCAAGTTTGGGAACCCCTGCCTTAAGGGTTCACTGCAACTATCTTTTTATCGTTCAAATGGTGGTTTAGAAAGCTTTATCCATTCAGATGGATTAGATCACTCCAAAGCCCAAATTTAATACATATATAAGACACTTTGGACAGCATCCCAAAAGCCTAAAATCCGCAAACTTTTCCTTCACCCATGATTTTACTTGCCCGAGCAAAGTCATAGTGAGGCTCATATTGTCCTCCAACTCCATAATTTGCTACCTGGAAAAAAAAGAAAGAAACACAGCACATATGAAGGAGCCCACGATGAGGAAAGACTTACCCTTCCAAAATCAAAATGAGGCTCGTACTGGCCTCCTACTCCGTAATTGGCTACCTACAGTAGAAGAAGCACAAACATCCTGTGAAAGATCTAAGACGGGATCTCATACGCTTGATTCATTTCTAAGGGGAAATCTGGCTAAAAAGACAGTAGAGTAATTTAAGTCTTCAGAGTCTCCCTAAAGCAGGGGTGTGAAACTCAAGACCCGTGGGTCACATCCGGGCTGCGATGTGGTTGGATCTGGCCCGTGGGGCCGTCCTCGAAAATGTATCAGGCCAGCGTGGCTTCGGCCAGTCTACCCAATGCGAAGAGGAAACATCAGGCTCGCGTGGCTTAGGCCCAGTCTACCCAATGCAAAAAGAAAACATGGCAGCAGTTTGGGGGCTGGCCTCAAGCTGGCCCCACCCACCCAGTTGGCCCCACCCAGTCCCCAGAAGTCAACCATAGCCCTGATGCAGCCCTCAATGAAATTGAGTTTGACACCCCTGCCCTAAAGGCATGTCCAGCTAGTCCTCGACTTATGACCACAATTTAGCCCAATTTCCATTGCTAAGCCAGACAGCTGTTAAGCGAGTTTTGCCTCATTTTGCAACCATTCTTGCCTTAGTTGCTAAATGAATCACTGCACTTAAGTTAGTAACATGGCTGTTCAATGAATTTGTCTTTCCCATTGACGTTTCTTTGTCAGAAAGTCACAAAAGGGGATCAATGACCTCGGGATAGTGCAATAGTCATGAATACAGGCCGAGCATATGGATTTTGATCATGTGACCATGAGGATGGCGCAACGGTTGAAAGTGTGAAAAGGAGACATAGGCTGCACCTTTTTTTTTGCAACTTTGGTCACTAAACGAATGGTTGTAAGTCAAGGACTACCTGTGTGGGCAATTGGAAAAACTAAAGCAGGAACTATTGCAGACTTGCAAATAACATTTAATGCATTAAGTGTTACTGAAACATATCTGAACGTATTATTTCAGCAGCCCTCACAGATGCAAAGTTAAAAGTATTGGAATGCTTGATATGGAAGATTTTTCAACGTAAAGTGAAAGTTTATCTACTTTGTTCATTTTCAAGTTTCAAGTTTATTAGAATTTGTATGCCGCCCACTCCCATAGGGACTCTGGGTGGCTCACAACAGACAAGAAACATTTAAAATTTTAAAAATAGAANGGGGGGGGAAAGTCGTGATACGTCACGTGACGACAATGTGACGCCACAAATTTGACATCCGTCTTAAAGTGTTTTTTTTTTGTTTGCCACTCAACTCACCAAGAGGTGATTTATCCCATATGAACCCTTTACATGCTCCCTGTGTGTGCTTGTTTTTTAAATAGTGCTTTTTATTTTATTTTATTTTATTTTTATTTTATTTTAATACAAACATACCATCTTTCATTAAACAGTGTGTCATCTGGGTACAAATATTTTGTGCATTAACAATTAAATTTACAGCCATATTCATTATTTTATCTATTCTTAAGTTAATACTAATACATAACATACTCTTATCTTAACTTATTTAACTTTATTAATACAATTTCCCTATTCACTTCTCTGCTTCCATTTCTAATGTTCGGATTTATTCTCTAACCATTGCTAAAATAACTCCCATATACTATAATAATCAGAGTCTATCTTTTCTTTAATTGCAAGTGTTAATCTATTCATTAGCTATCCCTATGTGCATTTGGAAGCAGTTCTGATTTCAATCCTGTTTCCATCAGTGAATATCTGGATATGTTTCAACACATTCTTGATTACACTTCTTAAAAAGGAAGCCCCCCCCCCCCTAGATTATTGGCTCCAATTACTCAGTACGGCTTTGACCTACATTACTTCATAAATTATGAGGTTCTCTTGCAAGCCAACTTAAATATTTTTTGGCTAAAAAGCAAGCAAAGAATTAGTGAATACATCAATTTATCGCATTGCTTCTCTGTGGTAGTAAGTGTCACCTTCCTTCCCATCTTATTGTTATTGTAAAATGTACTCTTTGTTTTACAGTACCGAATCTTACAGTTTAATCTTAAATGCCTCTCTTATTTTGACATTATTTCATCAATTTTATATCCATTTCTTCTTCAGGGAACTTGAAATCTCAACACGTTTCATTTTAGTCCAAATTATTCCAAGGTAAAATTATTTGTATTGGTTGCATCGCTTCAAAAAGTAATGCTAGCTAAAGACTATTGTGGTGTTATGAATATGAATAGTACAAATAAAAAGTTTTAAATTCAAAGGCCAATGTAAATTGTTACAACAGTGGAAGCGGTTGATTAACAACAGATCGTACCTTCCGCCACTCTACCCCTGCATGGAATTAGATTTTCATGGTTGGTTTTAATTTATTTATGTTTTAATGCAGATAGATAGATAGATAGATAGATAGATAGATAGATAGATAGATAGATAGATAGATAGATAGATNATATTGCTGGCATACTGTTAGCGTTGCAGATCGTTAGTACTGTATATGAAACAAAGCAGATAAAAAAAGAATGTCTCATCTCAAAATAAGATGGAATTACATCAAGCATTATCAGGAAGTTATCTCCCAAAGAGGGAAATTACGTTTACAGCAACGAAGGTGTTAATAGTAAGGAATATGTACCGTGTTTCCCTGAAAATAAGACATGGTCTTATTTTCTTTTGACACCCTCCCAATATGGCCTTGGCCTTATTTTTGGGACATGTCATATTTTCGGGAAAACATGGTAATACTTCCCATATTTAACTAATGAGCAACTACCCTGTTTCCCCCAAAATAAGACCCTGTCTTATTTATTTATTGCCACCAAAAATGGCACCAGGTCTTATTTTCAGGGTGAGATGTCATCCACTGACTCATCTCACTTATCCGCATCAAACCACCCACCCCACCCCCGGCCTCTTTGTCACTATCAGAGGCCTTCAAGAACTTCTTTTTCTGGCAAAACCAGCAAGGCTTTCCTGAAGGCCTCTGCAGCCGATAAAAAAGCTCCGGATTGATCGGGAGTTCTGTTATCGGCTACAGAGGCCTTCAAGAAAACCTTGGTGGCTGCAGCAAAACAAATGGGCCAAGGTTGCAATGCTTTTCTGCAACTTTCCAAAGGTAAGTAGTAGGGAAGCTCCACCCCCCCCCATCCCCACCCTAGCTTAATTATTACCTGTCTACCCTGGAGTGCGTGGGGTCTTAACTAGGGCTTATTTTGTAAGGGGTAAGGCTTATATTGGGCGCAAATGCAAAAATCAAGCTACGACTTACTTTCCAAGTAGGTCATATTTTGGGGAAAACGAGGTACATGTAGCTGGGACTCCTGGTTGATATTTCATATATTCTGACATTTGACATATCTCCTAGCAACTAAACTAAATAATAATAATAATGTTTTCTCACTCTTCTTCTTACAGAGAACAAAATAAGATAGTAGCTCCGTCAAAAGAGTAATTCTACACTGTTGGGCTTCAGCAACCTACAATTTGTCCATCCGCAGTGTATTCTCAGAAGTCAATCGGGTTGATTTAGTTAAGATTTGCTCTCAGTACATCTTTACAAGAGTGCAATTCAATGCATGGCCCTGACACAGGGCCACAATGGGACGCAGCCAGAGGTGGGTTCCTACCAGTTCACACCAGTTCGGTAGAACCGGTTCGTCAAATCTACCNCAATCCATTTTTTCCAGTCTCGTTTATATCTCTCATTTGAGTGATCTTTAATATTAATTTTCATGACCAATCACAAACTAATTTTAATTGTGCAAAGTTGTCGATAAAACTTAACCTAAATGTAATTTACAAGAAATATTTTTAAGTCCACACACTGTTTCTGCATGTAATGTAATTCAGACTTGTTTTAGCTACAGCACATCCATGATTAATTTAAAAAAAAAGAATCTGCTTAGTCAAACTTCAGATAGTATCATGTCTACTACAGTGCAACAGGATTTTATAGTCCTTTAGGAACATTATATTCTGTGAGGAATGTATTATTTTCCTGCATAAGATTTCTGGGGTAATGTAAGTGAAGTAAATTAGTGAACTCAGGGTCTCTTATGTTGTATGTGTCAGAAAAAATACTGAATCCCTGCTTTAGAGCAACATAATTTCTTCATCGTTAACTATAATGGAAAGTGGAAAAAACATTATTTAAATATGTACTTATCCAATTCTTGCAACTATCAAGAATTCTATGAATCAAACTTTTCTTCCCCTTCTTTGGTGCATCATATAGGTAGTCCTCAACATACGAACAGAACTGAGCCCAGAATGTCTGTTGTTAAGTTAATCTTGCCCCATTTTATGACCTTTCTTGCCCCAGTTGTTAAGTGAATCACGGCAGTTGTTACGTTAGTGACATGGTTGTTAAGTGAATCTGGCTTCCCCATTGACTTTCGCCTGTGAGAAGGTCGCAGAAAGGGACCACAGGACTACGGGACACTGTAAGCGTCATAAATGCGAGTCAGAATCCGAATGTAAATGATGTGACCATGGGACTGTTGCAATGGTCATAAGAGTGAAAAATGGTCACATTTTTTTGGTGTCGTTGTAATTTCAAACGGTCACTAAACAAACTGTTGCAAGTTGAGGACTACCTGTATTCTGGGGTGCACATTTCAAAGAAGACTGAATGACCCAAAGCTGCAAGAGAACCCAGGATTCCTGTCAGAGTGCGCAGTGTGACTCCTATTTTGGGACAACCCAGGAGCAAAACACAGTGCACAGAGGTTTTGTCTTTCTAACAGAGGTTTATATACAAGACGTATGTATGTATGTATGTATGTATGTATGTATGTATGTATGTATGTNTCTTAAATCTTCCAGTATTGGAGCATTCACAACTTTTGGAGGCAAGATGTTCCACTGATTAATTGTTCTAACTGTCAGGAAATTTCTCCTTATTTCTAGGTTGCTTCTGTCCTTGATTAGTTTCCATCCATTACTTCTTGTCCTGCCCCCAGGTGCTTTGGAGAATAGTTTGACTCCCTCTTCTTTATGGCAACCCCTGAGGTATTGGAACACTGCTAGCATGTCACCCCATGTCCTTCTTTTCATCAAACTAGACATACCCAATTTCAGCAACTGTTCTTTATATGTTTTAGCTTCTGGTCCCCTAATCATCTTTGTTGCTCTTCTCTACATTTTTTTCAAGAGTCTCAACATCTTTTTTACATCATGGTGATATAGGTGTAAGTTTCCTCAATGTATGTAGTATTTCACAGAAGGACAAAGAAAATCCACACTGAAACTTAACAGTAAAAAAAATCATGCTCCACACTCAGGGGCTTATTAAAAATACTTTCTTGCAAATATTCTGCGACTGTATTTTTTAAAAGGGCAGCTGAGGAGTACATACAATATATTATGTGCATTCTCTATTTAAAAATAGGTGCTGAACTAGGAATTTCAAGCTATCATGATCACACGCGGCTTCCTGCTTGTTATGCGCGTCTTAAGGAGTCTTAAAATAAAGATAGATATTGAGACACCATGGGAAAAAGCAAACAGATGCAGCCACTCTAGTACAAGGCCCAGGTTAGGAAATTCACAGAGATTGTTTTAAAGATGAAATAATGCAACGTGCTAGTATTATTAGGATCATGCAGAATAGTAGTACACAGAATGCACCAACTGGCTTAAAAAGCACTAAAGCTTCCCTGATTTCAATGAAAGAGAGTGAAGGACATGCTTCGACAACTTAATTTGGGTTAGCACCAGAGGTGGGTTCCTACCAGTTCGCACCTATTCGGTAGAACCGGTTCGTCAAATCTACCGAACCGGTTAGAAGAGGTTCCACCGGTGGACCCGGAAAGCAGGCCACCCCTACAGAAGAGGTTCCAAAAAAATTTGTAACCCCCCACTGGTCCTTGGATAGGAT